TTACTGCTCTCCTTTCAGCAGAGCGAGGAGCTGGTCAGTCATGATCCCTGCGTAGGTGGTCATAGCCGCTGTGCTCTGGCTGTATAAGCCCCTGGGAGGATGGAGGGCAAAAGCGAGTCTGAGGGAGGAGGAGGGGCCTGGACCCCTGGCCTGATCCCTGGTCTGAGGAAGGTGGGGTCTGGGGGCCTAGGCCCCTGGATCTGTGGGAGGATGGGCTGGGGGGCTGGACTCCTGGGTCTGAGGAAGGAGGAGAGGGCTGTCAGTCTGGGCTCCTGAGTCTGAGAGGGGTTGGCGGGGCTGGGATGCAGTAGGAGGTGGGTCCCCAGGTAAGGGTACCTGATTTTCTCGTCTAAGCTGGGCAGGTAGGTCTTGCTGTAGAGGCCCTGCGCCGCCGTCTTGGCGGAGTCCCAGTACCGGTAGATGGAGTCCTGCACCTGCGAGAGCAGCGCTGGGCTGCCGGGTTCGTCCGCCTGCAGCAGCGAGGCCCCCCGGACCTCTGCGGGGAGACGCACCCACCGGGGCGCGCGTTAGCGGAACTGCGGGGTCTGCAGCAGCAAGGGAGCAGGCGCGGGGAATGGGGCAGGAGGTGCAGGGATGTCCGCAGGACCCAGGAAGCCCTCTAGTGCTCACCCCAACTCCCCACCCCATCCCACCCCCCTGCTGGGGAAACCAACCATACTCACCAAGCCCTAACACCAAGAGGACCAGGAAGAAAACCAGGAGGTACCGCGTGGCCATGGTGCTCGACGCAGCTGGAACACCGAGGACGCTGTGGGACACGACCCTCTGGGTCACCTGGGGTCCTCGCCCAGCCTGGGGGCGCTGGGACCGTGCACCCCTCCCTCTGGCTGCCTGAATCAAGTTCAGAACCAGGTGACTTGGACCAGGCCCCACTTCTCAATCGTTAACACCCTCCGAAGAATCTCCGGTCAGTTTTCCAAAATGCTTAACATTCCTTAGCTTGCAAAGGAATGATGGTCCCTTGGGGGTACCGCAGGGGAAGTTGGGGAGCTACTGACCAAGAGTCCACTGGGACGAAGGACCTGTTCTAACATGGAATGTGGTCATGATTGCACAAGTCTTCTGGATGACTGAGCTATTGAACCGTAGGAGAGGAGCATTTAAGTTACACTGTTAAAAAAAAAGCATTTACTAGCAGGTGGAGGTTAAACGATTGGTGGTTCTGAGTCAAGGTTGAAACCATGGAATACAAAGTTGAGGATGTGAAATGTCAACACCCACCTAATTTACAATTAAACGTTTTTTTTAAGGATTTACTGGATGTGGCTTGAAGCCACCCAGTCGCTCCCTAGGGAGAAAGCTGTGGCCGTCTGCTTCCATAGGGCTGAGTCAAAAGCAAACCCACAACCACGGAGTCCATACTGAATCCTAGCGAGCCCATATCCATCGGGCAGGACAGAACTTCTCTATGGGTTTCCAAGGCTGTCACTCTTTTCCGGAAAAGGCCGCCTCTCTCTCCCCAGGAGCAGCGGTGGTTTTGAACTGCGGACCTCTTGGTGAATAGCCCAGGGCGTAACCACGACACCACGAGCGTTGGTTCGTCAACTCCATAGCAACGTGTTTTGCGTCAAGGAAAGTTCTGGACACAGCAGCCCTTACGGGGCGGACGTCCGCAAGACAGACCAACAGCATTTGATTAGAACAAGACAGAGAGACTCACTTGGGGACAAGTGAGTGCTGTGTCAGGGGGCGTGGTGGGGAGGGCCGGGAGAAGGGGGTCCCGGTGGTCTAGGACGTGAGGGAGGGTCCTTAGGGATGGTCAGGACGGGCAATGGTTAGACCAAGTGGGTTTTTTTGTCTTGACACGCCAGGATGTCCTAACCTAGGTGGGCCTTCAATCCTCGACCGGTCCCCAGCACTCCCATCCCTCATATTGGAGAGAAGAAGCTATTTCCCAAAGAGGCTGTGATCCAAAGCCTCCCTACCCCCCAACCACCAGCCCCAGTACTGGGAGGGAAGATGAACAGTCTTTGATTGTCAACAAACTTCCAAAGGCATGGCCATCCTGTCAACGCCTTCCTCACGGCGACCCTACAGGACGGGGTAGAACTGCCCCAGCGAGTGTCCAAGACTGTGCTGTTCACATGTTCACAGGGCGTGGAAAGCCCCCCGCCCCCCACCCCACCCCCACCCCCGTGCTGCTGCTGGCGGTTTGGAAGGGTCATTCCAGGGATTCCAATACCAATTCTGTGTGTGGTAGCTGTTTGGCCTTTTGTGTATGGCTTTCACCACCCCTGCCCCCTCCCCAGGTGGCGCAGACCCTGAACAGGCTGGCTGCTCAAAAGAAAATTTTGAAAACGTTGGCTGTCCTGTCTGGTCGGAAGAAAGGCCTGGTGATCCACTTCCGAAGAAGCCGCCGCCATTTAGAGGGAGGAAAACAAAATGATCCCGACAACCCCTTTTAACTCGCACTCACACAGCTGTTGGGGGACTGGGGTGGGCCCCTGCCTGCTGACTCCCAAGGGGA